CAACAGTACCAATAAAACAAGATAACATGTTATAGATGTTTTGTTTAGTTTTTTCCCCCTGTCCCCATACATATACTGAGTATAAAGTACACTAAATATTGGCTATTATATTGGTATGAGCTTATATTTTCTGTTATTTAATCTGTTAAAATGTCATGGGTATAATGTAGCAATTAAGTTTCTCCACATGAAAAAAAAAAAAAAAAAAACAAGAAGAATAAAACATACTCACTAACCAATACCGTCCCTATGCAACAATTATATTCACAATTTCCAATTCAATAGAATGCCCACCTCCTTATTTGGTTTGAACTCAGTCCTTGCTTTTCCTCTGCTGGTGATCTGAATAGCGATGCATTAATCAATACGCTCTAGCGTGTCTTTGTTTGATTGGAAGTCCTCATAGGACATTCCAAGCTTTCTTAAACTATAACGAATATCTAACACTTTGAGCAGTGTTTTCTGACAAAGTCTATTTCTTAGCTTTGATTTAACAATGCTATCTGAGAAAATATCCTTTCTTCGCCCATGTTCCTCAGTGGCATTATCAAAAAAAAAAAGTGAGAGCAGACTCTGCATGTTCCTTAAAACAGTGTTCGCCACTTGCATATGTGTGATCGAACAACTCATCAAAAAACACTATCCTGTATTCGAGATTTTTTGGACCATCAGGTGCAAGATCTCTAATTCTTTACTGAAATTGAATATATATTTAGCCATGTAATTAATTTCATATAAGATGTGGTTTTGTTGGTAAAGTACCATAAAAAAGTAAGACATTTAGTGCCCACAAACCCCACACACCTTGGAATCCTACAAGGGGATGTGTTACATAGCTCAAAGCAGAACAGTGTAGGTACATCAGAGTTTAATAGGAACTATACCCAAACACTAGTGCCAGGAATAATATCTCCCAAAACCATTGAAGGCATTTTATATCAGCATGTAGTTGAATCTAATCATTATCGATTAGCCAAATGATACAGAAAGAGCTAGCTCATGTCCTTCCGTATACAGGAATTCCAGAACAAAATAGTATTTTGCAATGATTCAGGCACTTCTCAGGTTCTTCTGCCTTTCACCAGGAACAGGGATCCAGATAGAGACGAAAAAGTTATAGTTTTATACAAACTATTGGAAACGTCGATTAAGCCTATCACTTGATCAGTTGCAAAGTTCTGTTTCAAATTCCACAGTTATACGGTTTTGCTCTTATAATTGGTATAAAAAACAATTTACAGTTTAATATCTCTAAACATTTCTTCGAATTAGCAGCAGTTGTTTGAATTGGACTTTGCACCTTGTATAGTTGGTTATACCTTATGAATCTGGAAATACCCTTTCAGATTATATAGTTACAAGGTTTTGTTCTTGTACTGATAAGCAGCCTATATCACATCATTAACTTTAGTATCGAAAATATAACTATACAGTTTTATCTCTAAAAAATTCCTTTAATTAGCAGTAGTTGTTTGAATTGGACTTTGCACCTTGTATAGTGGGATATGTCAGATGAATCCAAAAATTATGTTTCAGATTTACAAGGTGTTCTATAAGCAAAGAACTCTAATATGCAATAATCGTATTCGTGCAGTAGCTGTTTAAATTGGGTTCTGCATTTTGTATATGTTTTTCGGGGCTGATGAATCAAGGGCTTTTAATACCAGAGTAATAAATATTTATATTAAAAAGTTTGTTTGTTTGTAATTAAGCACAAAGATACACAATGGGCTATCTGTGCTCACCATGGGTATTGAAACCCGAATTCTAGCGTTGTAAGTCTGCAGACATACCGCTGTGCCACTGGGGAGTTATATTTAAAAAGCAACTTATTTCACGTAATTCACAATGTTATCTAGAATAATTTATTTGCAGTTTTGTGTATTTAAACGCTACTTTCAGTTAGCAGCAACTTGTAACAATTGGATATACATTTTATACAGTCATCATTATTTTATACAATCGAATACTACAGTTACAAGGTTTTTGTACAATTAAAAAATCACATGTACATTTGTTTATGCCTCATTACAGAATAGGCTTCCTTATATTTGTTTCTCCGAATAGCTTCATTATAATATTTTGTACTTCTATAAAAAATTTTCTCTCTAAAAGTTAATTGAGTTTATAGTAACTGTTAAGTTTGTTATGCAGCTAGTCGGGTGTCATTTTTCCTTCTTCAGTCATGAAATACTTACTGCTATGGGTAACTTTCTTAATAATAAGTTACCTACAGAACATGGGTTCGTAGGAAAAATACATTCATAGAGCACCCTGTTCACCTAAAAGTTCCCATTTATATTAACATTTCATATACAAGAAACCTCACTAGTTGTAATTATCCTTTTTTCACTTTGTTGTTATTAAATGTGTCTTTTTTCGTTATTAAACAGGACTGGATTGAAGATTATCGGGGGTGACCACCGACGGTCTTGTCTTCAACCTTTCATTATGCATACACATATTTACAATTGTTATATTAAGCATTAACTAACATTAAATTATTAATCATCAAGTTTTTGTCATAGTTTCAATTACATTTTAACAAAACTTTTATTACTATCATAACGTTTTTAATTCCAGTCTTTTATTTGCATATTTTGTAACAAATAAGATCATTATTGTTAAGATGGAATACAATGCATTTAGCACTGTCAAACTGAGAAATGCATGTTATATTAAACACCCACATATGTAATTTGTATAACGAGACAGGTTCTATGGACGTCATGAACGATTGATTAGAACAGCAAACAATTTTATCAGACACCTGTAGAAAGATATGCAAGTCAGCATTTCACCTATCACAATAAAACCTTACCAAAACATATATAATGACAAAATATAACATCAAATTATTACAAATAGTATCTGAATTTTATATCAGTTCATATTAAACATTCTGTATTTGTTTGCTCCTCCTCGTATCTAATAACCTCCGCAAAGCGATGTGGCATGCTGTTGATGAGGTTATTGGTGTAATTCAACGTGATTTCATCTCAGCTTGTCCCTAGAAGGCGCTGCACTCAGTTACATTAGCTGTTTTAGGGTCGCGGTTAGCAATTTTCCGGCTTAGTTCTGCCCAACAGTTCTCAATGGGATTACAATCTGGATACTTTGGTAGCCATGGTAATCTTGTAAGGTCCTCCTGGTATAGATAATCCTGTACAATACGTGCACTGTTGGCAGTGACATTGTCATCCTGGAATACAAAGCATATTGCAAAATATCGTCTTAACTCTCTCAATACGGAGTCGGTTGGTCGTTTAAAGTTGATATAAATTTAATACTTATAACCCTCTATATATTGGGTATATCTTCACGAAATTTGGCAGTCTTTCAGTTAATATTACAAGTCTTTCACATACAAAAAGTCATAGTTCTTAGTGAAGTATTTTTAATAAAGTAAAATAAAGTTTTGTCCATGAATATATTAAGTATTTGTTTTGAATAGTCCGTGTGCAAAGTAATTTTCATGTTAAAATTTAAAATATTATTCGTCATCTCAAAAATCTCCAATTTTACCTAATCTAGTCTTAACTAATTCAAAAAGATCCGTACTTTTAATTTTA